GGTCCTTGATGAAGAATACTGTTGAGAGACAGAGATGTTGATGTAGGTGCTGATGCGTTGAATACTACCCTTAATTTTCCATCTTTAAAAATTCCATGATGTGGAAGGTAGTAATGAGGATTATTTTTAAGACGTGGTGACTGACAGAGTGTCATATGTCCCGAAGACAAGTAATCTCTCATAAAATCAACATAAGTTTCCTTGAAATCAGGATTAGAACGAAATTTATTCTCCAGAGACCAGAATAGGGATTTTGCCATTTTGCTCGAGTTGCCTAATGTTGACGGATCGTCTGAGAAAGGCAAAGAGACAATATATCTTCCTTCAGGAGTGCGAGAGTGCGTAGATACAAAATGTTTTTCACATTTTTCTTCGGCTAAGGATTGCTTGCTTGTAAGAGGGGGTTCCTCTACAGCCCAAAACTGTTGGATAGAGGTGTGAAGATCCAAACTATTGGTGGTTAAGAGTGTGACTAATCCATGAAATGAATTTTTGCAAGTTGAGGCAACAGGGGTCGATCCTAAGAGCGCATATCCAAAAATGGTGTCAATTGCTACAGGCATATTCTCACCAAGTGACAAAAACTGGCCTTTCACAGAGGAGGCAAAAAGGTCAGCTCCAATTAGAACATCAATAGGAGCGGGTTTATCAAAAGTAGGATCGGCTAACATTAAATGTTGCATCTGTGAGCGAACTTCAGGAGTGATCTTAGCTCGAGGTAAATCTGGAGTGATATTATCCAAAATGAAGACAGGGTGAGAGCTTGCCAATACATATCCACTAAGGGACTGGAGAGTGACATGAGTTAACCCTTTTGTTTTCACCTGAGCAGACGAGATGCCATTAATAAGCGTTTTATTAGCATGAGAGCGCTTAATCCCTAAAGACTGAGCACATCTTTGAGTAATGAAGGTAGACTGAGCAGCAGAGTCTAAAACTCCCCTACAAACTAGGGTCTTACCTTCGCTTGATTTTACCACAATTAAAGCAGTGGCAAGAAGAACTGTGTTCTCTGTATTTGTCAAACCAACAAAACCAGATTCATTTTTATTTGAGTCAGAACTTGGAGCTCGTTTGTCTGTGTTACCTTTAGACACATTAGGAGAGGGATTATTTTCAGAATCCATAAAATGCAAAAAAGAGTGATGTTTTCTTTTACACGTAGAACATGTACGCCATGAATTGCATTCCTTTACCTTATGCTTATCGCCAAGACAGTTGGTGCACAAATTTTTGCCTTTAACAAAATTATACATTTCTTGTGAAGTCAATTTAAGAAAACCTTTGCATTGATAGATTTTGTGATCTGCACCTGCGCAAAATGTACAAACAGTGCGAGGAGTTGCAATAAGCGCCGATTTATTTGAGCGCTGAGGGGGTTTTACTTGAGTGTGGTGGTCTAAGGTACCCTTAAGAGATGATCCCACATTAGTAAGATTAGCTGCTTCAAGATTTACACAGTGAGACTCAATGTACTTGGTTAACTCATCTAACTTAGGAGTTACAGAGTTATCACTTCGACTCTGTTCAAAATGATGGCGAAAATCAGAATCAAATTTTCTTAACAAGTGAGAGGTCAAAATTAAATTTTCCTGAGAAATTTCTTCATCTAGAGCTTTAAGTGCTTCAATGTTTTCATTTAAAACAGACAAAAACCTTCTAAGTTGCTTCACTGAGGGATTGTGAAGAACTGGTAAGTCTAACACATTGTTGACATGAAGAGAGATTAGTAATCTTGTATTCTGATACCTTTTAAGTAGAGATTCCCATGCAATAAAATAATTAGCATTAGTCATAGGGATGTTTTTAACAACTGAAAGTGCCTCTCCCTCAAGACAGCTTAACAAATAACTCATTTTTTCAACACCAGAAATACTATCATTTTTATGAATAGTATTTTCAAACAAATTTTTTAACGCCATCCACTTTTCATGTTGACCTGAGAAGGTACCAAGTTGAAGTTTAGGAAGCTGTACACTAACCTTAGTTGTAGCTACTTGGCTGATAGCTGCATTGGAATCATCCAGGTTTGGCTGGCTCGACTGGTTAGAGCTTGGGGAAGGTATCAAGTTCACACACAAAGAGTGAATAGACACATAGAGATCACTTATTTCATCTTGTAATGTTGAAATTGTAGTGATATTTTCACTTTCATCTAATTCCTCAGGTAAAGGCACAGTGCCGAACAACTTATTCACTAATTTGTCAAAATCATTATTTTTGGCTGTAGCGGTGGAATCCAAAAGAGTGAGCTTTGTTATAAGTTGAGGAGTGATAGGTTCCTTTTCGATAGCAAGCACTTTTGCTTCAATTGACTTAAGCCTGGCTAGCACAAGCTCAGATTGCTTCACAAAAGTTGAGAACCTCATTTTGAATAAGTCTTAAATTCAATAAAATTCCAAAATAAAAATAAATGCAGATTAAAATAAGTTTATAATGAGCAAAACTTATTTAAAGACAGCCAGGATTCATTGTATTAAATATTAATATTAGTCAACTTGAAATCAGAGAGAAATATTCAGCCATAGTATAGGCCTATAAAAAGTTTAAGTCCCAGAAAATATCTACCTGCAATTATTTCCAGATAATAAATTTGAAATTCAATAAAACATGTTATTTCAAACACAAACTGTAATTAAATGTTCAATCCGTATTAATAAACATTCTTCTGTCACTTTAATTTAAAAGTGTAAGCAAACAATTGAGGTTATGAAAACATAAACAAAGTCTTGCATAATGACATTTAAGTTTTCATTCTATCCATCAGCAGCGCTAGTGTTGATCAGCTGTGAAGTTGGTATGACTTCCATGATTTTCTGAATATTCAGCAACAAGAGAGAAACTTGTTTCACATTACAGGGGGGAGAGAGGGGGGCAGACAGGATGCAGCCCGATAATGCACAATAGAGAATAGACAAACTATGCATGAAAATACAGGAGTTGTAGACAGTACAGTCTGAGAACAAAATTTTCTGTCTGGGACAACAAAACTTTATGTGTTATTTCACAAATTACTGCAACAATTTAATAAATTGATAATAATGTGATCAAAAATATTTAATCCTCTTGTTAATGATACTTAATGTTGATGACAGATTTATTCAATTAATTTATTCAGTTCAAATAAATACAAAACTTAATAGTCACAGTAGATTATTTTCCATAGGCTGGGAAACTTCCGGCTCGAAGGACCATGTTATATATGGTATTAAGAGGTAAAATTGTGAGAAATACCTTTAGATCCTAAAACTGAAGATCCATTAGGGTTTTGGTAGAACAGGAACAAGATGAGCAGAGAAGCGATGGCTCTGGCCAGAGTGACGAGAATCGAAGGACCACAGATGAAAGATGATGTTGAGAAATTACTATTGTTGTGTAGTATGTAATTCTTCACTGATTTAAATTAAAACTCTTCTTCATTAATAAAAAGAAAGCAATTCACTACTCATGAATATTCTGGACTGTACACGAAAATTTACAACACATCTACTTTAAATAAAAATATCTTCTTGGATCCTAGCTTGACACTTGGTACTATAAATTTGGAATCCATATTTAAATGAGAAATGATGAAATAATGCACTTGGAGCGGTAAGAGAGAAAGAGAGATTAAAATATTTAATATGAACTAAACCAAAAGGTAAGCACTGTGTACTGTGAGAGAGGTGAGTCTAAACTGAAACTGACTAGTACGAAGTGCTGTAGTGAACTTTGGACAGTGATGTCATCATATCAGCTGTTGTATCCTTTCAATAACTGAACTAAAAACTTGACTTGAATGTTAATACTACTTGATTAATTGTTTATATTTGACTGTATATAGTTCATATGTTATTAAATAAATATTTTATTAAATGTCCTTAGTTGAATTACTAAATATTTAACAAAATCTAAAATTGACTGACGGATGCCGGTAGAGCCACTGACGGAACTGCAACGGATGAGTGTAAATAGTGCAATATTCTTCAATGGATTTACTAGCCTATTGCACTATTTACACTCATCCGTTGCAGTTCCGTCAGTGGCTCTGCTAACATCCGTCAGTCAATTTCAGATTTCTTTCCATCGATATTTTTAGATTGGTCGGACGCCTGATGGACCTGTTTGAGGTTATAAAATAGCGTTATTGTTATTTAAATGGTTGTGTTTATATTTAGAGTACTGTTTGTAACAATCAACAAGATGGACAGTGAAAATTTGATAGAATATAGGTTTATAATTTAAAAAATTTGACTGTAAATTACTGTATTAGAGGCGGAAGACTGACTGAAACCAACTGACGGATAGTTGAATGAGAAATTGCGGATGCAACTGAGACTGAACTGTAACGAAACTGTGACTGAACTGATATGTGTGAATCGACCTTTAAAAAGCCAGAGGAAAAAGTGCTTGAAATTAACCAAATAATGAGAAGAAACCAAATATTTTAAGTTAAACATACTACCTATAAGTTAGTAAGTTTAGGCTATCATACAATATTAGAATTAACTAATAGGCCTAAGCCTAAGTTGAACTACAGAGAAGTAAGATACAGAGGATACAAGCTTATGGGACAACCGTGCGCTTTTAGCTCTGATATGGTGGAGCATAAAAATACTTGTAGCCTACCAAGCAAGGAAAAGCTTGAACGTAGATGGTCATATAGCATTTTTTTACAACAATTATAGCACACAGGGTCTTCCTAAAGTGATGGGCACTGTAGTATGTGATGTCGAGAAGGGAAAGGATCACAGAAGGCGACAGTGAATAGAATTGCTGTTGACACCAGCAACTAACTGGTGCTAGGTACAACTTAAGTGTACCCTTGAATGTATCCTGTGTACCTCAAGTTACTTCTCAATAGTGACAATAATAATGACAACCGCGGTGCGAACCATGCACTTTCAACAGGCTTATTATTATAAGTTAAGTATAAACATATATTTTTATTTTCAATTTTTGTTATCCTAAAATATCCTTTTGATTGTTTTAAATCAATGTATGTAAGGAGATTTACTTACCAAGATATTCTACCACACATACTTGATTACAAGCTTTAGCCTAGTCTAGTCTACCAAACAAGATCACTTCACTTTACACTTAAGACATAATAAAATAGCCTAATGGTAAATTACGTAAATGGAAGATTTCAAATAGATATTGAAACATTCAATTTTAAAATCTACAAGAAAATATTGATTACGAAATTGTTGTTGGTAAAAATCTATAATTTTATACTTTATGAAGAGTTTTCAAACTTCCTCCCTCCTCAGTCCTCCCTTAAAAAAAAGGAGGGGAGGACCGGAGGAGTGAGTTTGAGTTGGGTTGGACTTGGGTTGGGGTCAAGGCTATTAAAAAGAAAAAGAGGTTGCCTCAGTCGCGCGTATGACGTCACCCGCCGACCCGGATCTGTTTACAAATAAATAAATCAAAAACAAACAACAATAACAAAGTACTTGACAGGTGACAGCTGTGTGAATTAAAAGCAGCACCGTCCGGGTCGGCGGGTGACGTCATACGCGCGACTGAGGCAACCTCTTTTTCTTTTTAATAGCCTTGGGTTGGGGTGGGATGGGAGTGGAGTGGAGTTTAGCCTTAGCATAGATTAAACAAACATGCTCCTTGAGGAGTACTGTATGTTTTATCACAGACAAGGGAAACAAAAGTCCTTGTATTTCCTTAGTCAATGGTTTTATCTATGGTGATACGTTTTTCTAATGTTCAACCAGAGAGTAGTGACTCCAGTCATGGGCGTACCCAGAGAGGGGCAGGGGGGGCAGCTGCCCCCCCTAGAAGCCAGGATAAGGTATAACAAATTTAGATCCAAGAAAAATTGTATTAGTACGAGAAAAGATGAGTAAGATAGACAGATTTTTTATGACATTTTTTGGACACATGTTATCAATTTTTCATTATTTTCTGAGTTATTTCTTCAATAAAATAAAAATTCCTACATTAGTAATAAACAGACAAATTATACAAATATGTACAAACTAAGAACTTTGTGTAGTATAATGAATTAATATAAACCTATTTTGTGTGACATTATTTTGTTTGCCTTCAATAATAATGTTACGAACAAAATTGCTCTACGGTAAGTTATAAATGGACGTGAAAAGTTAGCATTGACACAAAAATACAGTTAAATTTTTATTGTACAGCGAAGCAACTTGACCTGACCCCATTGACGGACATAAAGCCACTTCATAAACTAAGACAAACACTTCATAAGACTAACACTGGATTATCGAGCTAAGTTTGTTATATTAATGTCTCAAAATAGCGTAAAATACGCTCATTTCAGCATATTAATTTTAAAATTTTCCCGGACGAGGACCCCCGGACCCCCCCTCCATGCTGGGGGTATTCCATACCCCCCCAGGCCCCCCGGTGTGCCGCCCCTGTTTCAAGTACGCTCTTTTCCGTTGCCCCCCCTATTTTTGATCCTGGATACGCCACGCCCTTGACTCCAGTTCCATGGTTATAATCTATAAAGGCGGCCGTGATTTATCCCAATGGTTGCGGTTGGGTCTATCGTGATCTATCGGTCTCGAACCACACGGCAAAGAACGTGTGGCACGTGGCGTGGGGGACTCAAGAACCTGTCTTGAGGTATTTAATTTTATTTATAATGTCAACCTTCAGTTGGATAGCATCATTCGTGGTTGCCTGATAACGTATACCTTTTTTCTGTGAAAATTCTCGTTACAGCCCTCTTAAAGTACTACAACTTTTGTTTAAATAAAATGGAATAGGTACTAAAATTATTATACATTTATAAAGCTCACATAATTGAGGTACAGATCAAACATTTGTTGTCTTGGCTTTTGATATATCCTTCACCTATATCATTATAATGTTTATTTATTTACAAACGGTGATACACAAAAAAAGCTTGTTGGCAGCAGAAAAAATGCCCAATCTCACAGTTTTAATTGATTCTTACACATTTACCTAACATATTATAAAGTTATTATTATAATCAACGTCTCAACAAAATTTTAAAGATAAAATTATAAAGTTTTCTCCGAGTCTTGCTGGACAAACATATGATTTTGACACATTGTCACATAGTGTCATGTTGGCAAGGTACAAAATAAAACAACCGAGAACAAGAGAAGGAAAATGCCGATTTGTCTGTCGTTTCTGAGGTGTGAAGGTTGGCGACTAACTTAAAACTTCTATTTAAACTAAATCAAGTTCAAAGAATTGTTTTAATATAACTTGTTGTAAATGAAAATGCTGTTATAGTGTGTTACGGTTCCTATTTTATATAAATTTGTTAATATTTGAAAGTGTGAATTCAACCAAGTCTAGCTCTTTCAATCATTTTTATATTAAGTTGTGTTGTTTCTTTATCATGGCACCAAAGAAAAATCTAATGGAAAATTTTGATGATGGAATCTTAGACCTAAGTCTGTCTGGTATCCAGGAAGTTCCTGTGCGTGATATTGTAAGTATGACTCTTCATTCTCCTAGTCTACTTTTTCTACCTAGCCCTAGCCTATTGGCTAAAAATTACATCATATCCCAATGTAGACAAACTAAATAATTGCCAGAAAGGCCATGCGTACAACAAAGCTTAAGGGCAACCAACTGTAAAAAAAATACTCTTCTTCATCTCTCAGAAAAAACTTAGAATTCTGAGTTTTAAGTCAGAACGCGGACAGTACCTCTGAGATATTTAAAAGTAAGAATATTTTAACTAGTGGGCGTTCCCCTCTGGGATTAAAGTCAGAATTTAACCATTAGGTTTTTCTCTACGACAATGGGTGCCAACTCGACAAGAGATCACCAATCACTAATATTTTCCTTACCGTACTGAAAATAAAATAATGATTTATTAAAGCTTATTATAGATTGAACAATTCCGATTCTCAGTAGCCTATTGTATTACATACTAGACGGTAAACATAAAACTGTATTAAAGTTAAAGATACAACGATTCCGATTCTCGGTAGTCTATTGTATTAAGTGAAGTTTTATTAGATGTATTCATTTTGATTCCGCCCGTTCAGCCGAACAGCTACGAGCATGATTTACTAGTTCACCCAAACGATTTTGCAGCTGTCTGCCCATTGGCAATAAAAGTATAAACAAATAGGCCCTACAAACATTGCAGACTCCTTAAGGTTGGTTGGTTGGTGCTCAATCAGTCTATGTATGTGGTTGGTTGAAATAGAGTTAAACAATTGTGTTTCTATATGGAAAATTTACATTAAAAGAATGGCCAAAAATTTAGTTTTCTAGCAAAAAAAAATCTAATTTTCTTTGGGGGAAGGCGTTCCTCCCCGGGGGCCGTACCCCCTACAATCAGGAGGGTATTCCACACCCCGGTCTACCAGGGGCCTCGGCTGCAACTCCCCTGGCTGACACCCCCCAAGATCTTGCCCCACCAATAAGAGTTATAAGCCGGCGCTTATGTCTACGACGCTTCTCAGAAATGAACGCTCAATAGTTATATTCTGACTAGTTATAACTTTGTTACTCTCAGAGTGGAACGCCCACAAGTTCAATTCTGACTTTAATCTCAGTATTCTAAGTTTTCTCTCAGAGTCAAAGAAAAATATTTTTCTTTACCGTTGGTGGCCCTTTAGCGCTGTGTCGTACATGTGGCCCTAACTTTGGATGAAAAATTAATGGGATGGATTAAAAAAAAATTGGATGAATGGATTGGTTCTTTGAACAGTTAAAACTTGAATAGACTACAAACCCCATTATCAATGTCTGGCCATAGCATTTTTGTGTCTTACACTGTCTTATCACCATTGTTTGTATGTGTGCACATGCTAACTGTAACTGCAGAATAATACTTTTTAGTCTGTAAAGTCCATTATGCATTGTATTGTAAAATTACAAATTATTACAAATACAAAGCTATGACAAACTGTAATGCTAATATTTTTTTTTATATTTCAGGCAGCAATACCAAAGGTTTCCAGCTTGGATCTTTCATGCAACATAATAGTATCCCTACCTGTAAGTATGACTTAAGCTAAGATTTTACGAGGGGACCGATGCGCAAATTGCATAATTTGATAAGGCCCAAGATTTTTTTCCAAGGCAAAATGAATCCAATGCAATACCCATTTACCTTTATGCTACAATAAATTTATTGATTTTAGATCTAAACTATAAATAGTTATTTACCTACCACAATCAGGTCAGCAGAGCTGTCAAAATAGTAGCCTAAAAATACATTTAATAGAGGGCAAAGCACTAAAGGAAATAACCTTTTGATTAACATTCGCAGGTGCGCTAGATAAATTTTAGCCTAAGCTTTAAAATGACACTTCAAACTTGTGTCAGTAATTTCTAACCCTTGCTACATGTAATATTAAGTCAAATTAAAAAAATAGTACTTTGGTAAAAAAAAAAAAACTAAGTCATAATATACTATTCTTTCAACGACTTTGTACTGAAAACCCATTGCAGCCAATTCAATAAAATATTCTAATTTACTTAGGGCCTAATTTAAAAACCAAAACAAAACATTGTAAGAAACACTGTTTTGCCACCATTTTTGTCATTGATGTGAACAAGATGAATTAATATCCTTTGGTTTTATTTATTTCCAGAAATCATTCGCTAGCTCTCTGACACAGTTGGTCAAGTTGGACCTCAGCCAAAACCAGTTGACGGCACTTCCAGACAATTTTGGATTGTTAGTCAACCTAAAACACTTGGACTTGGATAATAACAAGTTGGAGTCACTTCCGCTCAGCTTCGGTAATCTGAAGTCGCTGCGGTGGCTGGACTTGAAGCACAACCCACTGATGCCGAAGCTGGCGCAGATAGCTGGTCAGTGCCTGGACGCGCAGCAGTGTCATGCGGCCGCGCGCAATGTAGTGGCAGCGCTGCGCAACACACAGGAGCAAGTCAACACTGAGATCACCCGCAGAAAGGAACAGCAGAAGAAAAAAGGTTTGTAGGCCTACACAATTTAAATCTTATTCAAAAGTTATAATAGCCTAACTTAATTTATAGAATGATAATCTTTAGTTCATGGTTTTCAATAGAATAAAGAACCCCTCACATCTGACCATCTTGGGCCTTGGGGCGAGGGGGGCTAGGCCAAATAAACCAACAAACTGTGAAAAGGTTGTGAAACCCCAACTATAGGCTGTTCACAAAATTTAGGCGGTTTAGGGTGAAGCGATTCCATCCCCTCTACCTCACACTAACTTAAAAAGAACGGCCAACAGCTGATCATCTGATCTACATCAAGCTAAAAAGTGGTGGGGGAACGAAGTGAACCTTCCCTTTTAAACCGCCTAAATTTTGTGAACGAACTTGAACTTAAATGATAACATTTTATTTCAGGTTATTTGCAAAGAAGAAATCATGAGTTGAAGCTACTTGAAGTACACTTGAAGCTATCGACTGAAGCAAAGTAATAGCGTTAAATTATATTGACTGTACTAAATTTTTAAAAGAATGATGGACTAGATGCCTTACATTTTCACCATTCCATGATTAATGAGTAAAAAGTCTGTTTGTTTCCCAGACTTCCATTCAAGTAGTAAAAACATGATCGTAAATTGGCTAGAATCATTGATGGGCCTTATTTCAGAAAAGTATAGGACTATACTTTGCATTCTCACTCAAATAATTCATATTTTCATAAGTGATTAAGTTTTCAAATAAGTATAAAATGCTTATAAATGCTGTAGTATAAAATATACATTTTTGGTTTTTGTCTTGGCAGCAACAATAAACTTTTGTAATAATAGTCAAAAATAAAATTCAAATTTGAGATTTAAGCCTATTTGCATCTACAGAAAGCTTACTATTTGTGAATTTTTACTTGGTTGGAATAGATCTTATATTCATTCAACGAGGGAGAATTCCTTAACCCTCCGAGTGTCCATAGTTTAGGCCTTAATGTCCGCCTATTTTTGGCGCATTTGCAAGGTTTTATTAAAACCGATCTGAGAAGCTTAAAACAATGTTAATTCTACTGTTCTATATACCATTTTGTTTGGAAAATCATGGGCTTCAATATTATACATAAAACATAAGGAACATTTGTTTCAAAAAAATGTTTTAGGTAAAAAAAAAATATTTTGGAAAATTTAAATTTTCAAAAAAAAAATAAGTTTGCGCTCAATGAAATTGTATAAATTATAGGCCTATAAATATTTGAAAATAGCCACTTTGTTCTAAATTTTATGAGGATTACAAATATATAATAATATAAGGAAGTAGATTTGCAAATAAATAAGTTATGGGCAAAAAACAGATTTCAGTACATAGCGTTTAGCTAAGAATGCATAGCCTAACCATAGCTAGGAATCTGGCTGATAATTTACATCAATATCACTACCTACTTCTTCAGGATCATCAACCAGCCCTTCAAAATCACTTAAATCTTCTTATAATGCACCACGTATATCACTACTTTTGATTTTTAACACTAAAACAATGATAAACGTAATAAAACACATCAGTCATCGGTCCGAGGGTAACCTAGCTATTTACAAATACGCACGTCAGCTGTCTGCTACAATTACGATCGGCTCGGAGAACATACAGCGCTGAGACAGACCTCTGGAGAAAGCTTAGAATATAACGAAAAGAACGATACCTAACTCGATCCAGTTCAATCCGATTCAGTCAGTCATAGAGCCTTCGCCGTAAACGATGTTCGCGCGTCGAAAAATCGACGCGTGACACTACACAAAGTGTGTCGCGCGTCGATTTTTCGACGAGTGACGCTCGGAGGGTTAACAGATAATTTAAATTCCAAGGGTGCTTTGTTGACACGTCAAAGGTGTAGATGACGAATTTATAATAGCCTTGTTAGAAAATTTAAATAAACATCTTTATCAGTGAGTACATTTTGCATCTGTTTTACAAATGAGTTGTATTTAAAATATTAAATTCTGATTTATTTAAATTGGTTTAGTGGAAGAAGAAACCCATGTAGAAGACAATATGAAGAACCAAAACAAAGAAAACCACCAGTCGAAGAAAAAGAAGAAGAAAGGAGGCCAAGCAACGAATAATACTGCTACAAACCACGCTAACGGTCAAACTCATGCTATTAATGATTTGGAAAATCTGTCCAAAGGAGATACAGTAATCTTGCCTAAAGTGCCTACAAATAAGACTGTCAGCAAACCAGGATTCTTCAGGATATGTGAGTATTGTTTTAAAAAAAATAAACCACTTTAAACCTATTGTAATCTATGTGTAAACCTACGTCTATTTGAACCAGTATAATTGGATTATGGGGACAGGGTTTTATGGGCTGGAAGTTGGATTTTCCCATTTTCGACTCTCAAAATACTTGTATTAAGTGTGGCCGTTTAAAATTCCAATGTCATCTTATGGAGGATAAATAAACTGTTGTAGTTTGCTTGTTTGTATGCACATACGGTACAAGGCAAGTTTTTTGAGTAAGTTCCGTTTTTAAATTTCTCCGGTCCGGCGCTGTGATTGGCATTTTGGACATTTGCCCTGTGTATGTGCATCTATTGGCAAGCCTGCACAGGAAATTCGGAAAAAAGTCAGCTGTGTTTACACCCGGTTTCGAGCATTCAAAATGGTGCCGCCAAATGAGACACCGACTGAGAAGTGTGAGCTGTAATTAGATTTTTAACTGCTAAAGGTGTGAAAGCTATTGAAATTCATTGAAAGATTAGTGAAGTATGGCGAGAACATTATGAGTGACGGAATGGTACACAAGTGGGTAAGGGCATTTAAAGATGGCCCCACTAACTTTCATGATGAGCAACGCACTGGGTACTTGGTGACAGTAATGACATGACCAGTACAACAGGCCAATCAAAGGGTTAAGTTAATTCCAAGTGATGTTCGATGAGTTGCTCAATTTTGTGTTTGATTGTTACAATGAATTCGAGTATGTTAGCATGAACATCGGAATGTGTTTGCTAAGGATGTACTCTACAGTAAATTCATATGTACTTTACATGTGACAGACCTTTAGTGAAATAGTTTTTTACAAATATTTTTTTTTTCAAACAATATATAATTAATGATTCCTCAATTCTCGTCATAAACACTAAGGACAAAATTCTTTACCTTTTGTGCGCAGTTAGCATTCCTTAAATGGAGAGAGTGTAGTGTATAAAAAAAAATATAAATACACAGTGTACATTGTTTTATTCTGTAGCAATATTTTTATATCAGCATTACAAGTATAACTTTCTCTTGTTTAACTTGCTGTGTTAGGATCTTATTATCATTTCATTATCAAACCCCCGTCTGTTTCAGTGGGAAGACTACTGAGGACAACAGTTACAGTTTTCCTGTCCTGTGTGCTGCTCGGTGTGTTTCTCGGCTACGTGTTGAAAACTCTGGATGAACAGTTGTACAACTCACTTCGCAAGAAGGTAGTCGAAGTGATTGAAGCGAATTTTTCAAATGAGCAGTTGAGGCAATGGGAGATTGGGCTGATCAAATCTAGAAGAGCGGTGGAAAGTTTATCGAGTCAAGCTGTCGGCATCAGCATCCATTACTTCCACAAGTCGCAACAGCTGGCAGCAGATATCAGCAGTAATGAGACGGTTCAGCAATACCTCGAAGGTATTAAGAGTGGATGGCACATACTGTTGGTCTGGCTGGGCGACACATACACGGACCTGAGTGTAGTGATTCCTCAATACTACGACTCTGTTAAAAAACTTATTTCCGAGTCAACTTCCAAAGCTTCGTGAACAAATGTAACTAGTTCCCAACAGCTAGTTTTCACTGTTAAAGGAGTGATGTAGCTTGTATAATCACTGGGTCCAAAACAACTTTGAAAAAATTAACGGTTTGAATGTAAGTTATGTCGGATGTATGTAGTTGAAATTGTTCTTGTTGATTTTGTGATGAGAACTTGCAATGTTTATTATTTGATCTATTAATATAATTTATTTACTATTGTTGTTTGTTATTTGAACGCCGACACCTGTAAAAACCTTGTTATAAGTCTGAATGAGGCAATTTAAGCCATCATAAACTGAATATTATGAGATTCAGTTGTCTTGGTTTTCTGCACAATCAAATGTCAAATATTTCTTTGTGTGGGCTTAGTGTTAATGAATGTGCCGTGGATTTTGTCAACCATGAAAAATCCTGGACTTAACATAATTTTTACTGTCTAACCTGGAAAATAAAGATCTGCCATTCCAATTCTTGATCCCTAAAAACTTTTTATACCAATATAATCGAGGGAACGTCAATTCTCGATACTTTGATACTTTGAATTGATGATGAAAGTCATGATCATCTACCGCAATCGTGGCGATGAAACGTAATTATCATCTGCTCCCGCAATTGCAGTATGCCCTAACCTTGTGAATTTTCAATCGCCCAAATGATGCACTTTTTCTTTGATGAAATTCCTTTAATACACTCACACTGAGATTCTTATCTGGCGAAAATGCCGAGAATGGAAAATATAATAACATTCCTACTTTTAAATATTCGGTAGGATGTTTACGTTTAATTTTTTTAAATTTACTCTACAATAAACACACAGCCATTATATCTTCATGCAACATACATTATCTTCAGCCACACAGATAATGAACTAACCCAAAAATAATTATGTAAAAGTAAGACGAGTGGTGACATTGGGTTTGGTTCATACAATCAGATTTAAAGAACCAAATTATTCTCTTCTGTGTCGTCAGAACTAGTATTGCAAAACATGGGTAAAGAAAGTATTCTTCATTCGAGTATTTCATTATAAATAGAAAATTTTTAAAACAAAGGGGCAATTATAACACAGGTTTCTAAGAAAAGTCTATTTACTGAGCAATATAACAACATTTTAACATATACAACATTTTAAAATTCTTATAAACATTGGTTTCTTATCTTAAAAATTAGTTTATGACTTCTAAAGCCTAATTGTACATCACAATATATTGTGTCTGTACAAATATGAAATATTTACAATCATACAAACGTACTGTACATAACTGTAGATAACAAGTTAATATTACTGTTTTTGCTATACTTTGGCACATTGGCCAAATCACTTTTTCTTTATCAAATACTATCAGAGCTAATCAGACCAAGAAAGGAGTCAATTTAAATCTTAAAAGTTCACCAACCTGATTGGAATTGATTACTTTCATAGCCTTTTTTGGGTCTAACTATAAACTTTGAAATAAAATGTCGAGTTGTACGATTCAGGGTGTCATCAAAATAATTTCTATGACGTCCTGGTCTTAGGATCAGATTCAAGTATACTATTATTTTTATGTAATAATTAAGACTACATTGTTTTTGTTCTTTTTTAAACCCAAAATACATATTTAGTATAACGCACTAATAGTTTTCCTCAGATATTTTAGCTTAACCAACATAAAAAAATACATTTAATAACACACTTAAATATCCCAACTGCATTTTTTTTACTTAATAATTGCCCATTCAACTTAATTTTCTGTATTTTTCTAGGCTTTGAAAATCATATTTTTAACAAACAAATATGTCGTCTTTTCATTGCACTTTTTTAAGGTGGCCTATTCTGAAATGTATTACACTATGCAAAAATAAAATGTAAACAAATATTTAGGATCTGGGAAAATTAGGTATAAGACTTTACCTTACAGAAATGTACTTTGTTCTATACACAAGGTGGGTGATCAGCTTGATGTCCAAACTTTGTAAGCTAATCGTGTCTACTAATTAGACTTTATTCAGACAGTTAGCTTACTACATATGGTAAGTACACAATTAAATAGGTACATTTTTACATAGTCAATAGTCATGATCCTAAAGGAAGTAATTCTACTTTATATCAATATAATAGCAAACAATTTTTTATATTTTAAAGTAAACTAAGCTACATGGAACTTACTTCAACAATACTATTTGACTCAATTTTTATTTCACCTATCTCGTTTTCTACATTTTGGGTTTACTGATCAGAAAAATAGATTTTACCTAACCCGCCATGTTAAACTTCCCTATCCCAAGCGTGATGTATACAACTTCCTTACTTCTCGAGTGATGTAAAGTTGAAAAAAACTCACTCGGTGATGTAATGAAACCCATTTAAATAACATTGAGTGGATAACTTAAAAAATATACCTCTATGGAGCCAACGACGTTCAACGCTAGAAATCAGCTGTGTGTTTGGATTTTATTGTTATGCTTTGAAGAATTTTCCTAACCTAGCTTTTGTTTGTAAATGAACGTTACTGTTAGAAGATGAGTGAAATTGATAATGAAGCATATTGCTCGTAACCTCCTGAATATTGTCGGGTCAGGTAAAATCTTGTCCGTTACACGTTACGCAAGAGCGTGTTTACATCACTTAGGTAAATTATGCAACTCGCTTCCGCTCGTTGCACAACATTAACGTGATGTAAAAACGCTCTTACTACACTTGTAATGTAAATAGCTATAAATCCACTTGGGATTTGGGCAGGGCCGAAGTGTGACTATAAGATTTTACATGTTTATAATAATGTAATTTTCTCACCTATATCATAAATGACTCAAACATTTCATTCTCATGGCTTGAAATAAAAATACATACGTACTAATCTTAAACTAGCTGTACCTACTGACTATGAACTTTTGGGATTCAGGTAACATTGACTTTCAGAGCCGAGTTCTCAGCTCCAGGGGTTCAGTGTAATGTTGGTGTCATGACGACCGACTCCTCGAGCTTGCGTCCTTCCTCCAACAAACGTGATCGATCTCGTGATCTTCGGGCAGTTGGACAGTGTAAGGCGCCCCCACTCCACGCATGTTCACATCAGTTGTCTGCGTCGCGTTGTAGTTTGGCACTGAGTTGATGCTGAAGGTCCCGTTCATAGGTTCATGAATAGATTTCTCAGGGTGCTTCGAGTAAGTCGGATAGTATCGGGTGCCGAGCGTGTCACTCGGAGCGTGCCTCACGGAATGTGTGTAGTCTCGAGTACCTCGCCGTTTGAGCGTAAAGTCCCTCTCTCCGCTGAGCGTAGACTGCTCCCTCCACACGACCCAGCCGTGTCTTTGGATAGGATCTACTGGACCCCAGTTTCGGGACGGTTTTAGGGATGATACAAATTTCTGAAATGAATAAAATTTGTTAAATTTATAAAGTTTAATATAAAAAAACAACAGTTAACTATTTAAAATCCTGGGTAATACGGCAGACAGATTATTGGGTATGGATTTAAGAAATATGTATTTTCCTGAGTTAGCTATACTGCTTTAAAGAGGGGGAAAGCAGTTCAAAACTATGTCATATTCACTAGCATGTAAGTCTTCACTAGGAAGATTTGAAAACAAGAAGCTGAAACAAAACTTCCATGACAAGCCCCTAATAATGGCGAATTAGAGAAAATGGCCATGAGAGAATAGAATCAGAGCCGTCCCTAGGGTTGGTGGCGCCCGGAGCAAACGTGGTCGTGGCGCCCCCTCCCCCCAGCAGTAGTAGTCGCATTCGCATATTTTAATACTATGTTAATACAAATAGCCGCTGCCCGGCGCCCCCTCAGCCACGGCGCCCTGGGCAGCTTGCCCCGGTTGCCCCCCCTTCAGACGGCCCTGAATAGAATATGTTGTATACGGATTCATTCATTCATTCGTGCTAGAAAAAAACTGGTAGTGTCAGTTTCAGTTAACTAAACAGCTACACAATCATGATCTTTTGCTTATACCACCCCCATTTTCCATTCATTTTGTTTAAAAACCCAGTGCGATCATTATATATCTTAATTGATTATATTTTGATATGCATTGACATGAATCGAGCCAAAGAAACATGCTTTTTTCAACTAATATCAATAAATAATATCAAAAAAACTGGGAAATTCACCTGACAAATGTTGTAGTCCACTTGGACTGCAATCTGCCATATTGCCACTATTAGAAAGAACATCCAGGAAGCGCCAAATATTGACCATCCAGTGACATACAACCATTCTGGGTCTATTTTTCCAGGGAATCCTGTGAGAGGCAGGGCAAACAACGACCACACCTGCAACAGCTGAGCAAGACATTTCATCAGGCTAGACTATACTAGTGCACCTGTTGCTCAAATTTTAGCAATTGCAAAGTATTACAGGTGTTATTTCAAAACGAAGAACAGTCATAATTTTTGATGACTTAAAAAGGCAACTCAAAGATTAGATCAATCACTCCACTCCAGTTATCGAAACTGAAAACGAAAGCTCTTTTAAGTATAATGTATTAACTATGAACAGCTGTTTTGGTATGCAATTAATACAAATTATTCGTCTGTTTAAGTAAACAAAATCATTTCTTCATAAGAAATACATTGGGATTTTGATAGCCTGTGGGGCAAAGCCCCAGGACTTTAATTACAGGAATTGGTGAAAAGAGCGTTTACACAAAAAATACTTAATTCTGACACATCGTTTGTGAAAATCTGTCCATTATTAACGGAGGAGTAGTGTTTTGTTGGAATCGCCTTCACGTATTATATATAAGAATGATATGATGATCAATTTTTTTTAAACTAGCCTTACTCATTGATTATGTCCAACCCACAGTAATAGCTAAAACAAGAGTTCAAAATTACTTAGGTGAAGATATTTTGTGTGCAATATTTGTTGCACAAACGAATGGAGATAGGGAGAATTACCTTAAAAAAAGCCATAGGATGGTTATTTTTATTCAATATCTGCTGTGTATCACTTTGAAGTTTATGGTTATTTAAACACTTCACTGTATTTTTTATTATTAAACTTTGTAAGTTTGTAGCATTATCATTGATAGTTGTTTAACAACAGTTAAAAAAGTGCTCACAGTTTTTGAGGTGGAAAAATAATTTCCAATCTACTTTCTGAAGTCATATGTTAGGACGGAACAGTGTTATGTTTGTGATCTTTTATTTGTTTATCTCATTTTCTCAGATAAGCGGGCTGAACTCATCCATCCCTCTTCAAGATAATTTTAACACAATAAGCAAGAAATTATTTTACATAAGAATGAATACTTACTATGATCAATAATGGTGTAATAAACCAAAGGATGTTCCATATGAAATTCAGTTTGTACCCCAACACAAATTCAAAGTCAGTGTACAAATGATGACTCCCGTAAATCCAGACGAAGCCCAGCAGTTCGAGAGCCGTTGTGATGAGTACAATGCGAGTGACGACATAGTGTTCCAGCATGTGAACCAATTCCAACTTGTCCTGAATCAAACAGACACGAAAAATGTTATGTCATTACACCTCATTATCTGTAGGACTGTAGATTGTATTTACCACAATTGTTGAGGTTTTAGTGAATTTCCCATATAGGGAATGAGCTATTCGTTTATCCTTCATCATAATGTGAGTTGACGGTTTCCTTTGCCGCCCTGTTGAGTGAGTGAGTGGTAGCGGGTGGCGGGAATAGGGGCGTTACAAAGCCTGCAGACATTTTTAGTAGCCATGGAGCTGTGGACAGCTGAGCACTCTGCATTTGTAGTGGAAGCGTTTTTTTTTTTAAGTGGCGATTCAGTGGCAGTTCCGTAGATGTTTCAATGTGGGTTAAAGAAGAAAAGTCCCTACTTGACACAGCTCTGTGGCTAATAAAAATGTCTATAAGGCTTTAGAACGCCTCTATTCCAAACACTCTCTATCGCTCACTCAATCGACAGGACGGCAAAGAAACCCGTCAGATCATTTTGTCGCTCCCTGTATTATGGAATTTGTGTAAGTAGAAAATGCACTTGAGTTCCAAAACAAAATTCAGGTGGCTTCTTCAAATTTGTCACGTCCTTTGAGCAGAGTGTTTGGATATTTATTTAGAGAACAGGAGGTTACAATTACAATCATTATCCAGCATTTATAACCATCCCAAATAATCATCCCTAATAATCCCATAATTCCTTGAACAATCAAAAGTTAGTACTTTTTCTTTATCTCCATCAGCTGATCACCATCAAGATGTTAGATAACTTTTTTGCTCTCCCTAGCATGACACGTTTTTATGAGATATTTTATATGAGATATTTTATTATTACCGGCAACAAACAGATGATCCCAGCCAAGAAGCAGATGGCACAGAAGCCAGCTGTGATGACCCACTGCTTCCACCTCTCTTTAGACTCTACGATGACTGTCGTGGTGACGGTGAACACCAGCGCCATCTGTGGAGGGAATAATACAGTATGTTAATAGATGCAGTAAATTGTACACGTTTAGAGAAAATACTCTTACATCGACCTATGTTTCAATAGTTCAGTGTATGTCAAATGTTGAACTTCTTTCACACTCTACTGCTTTAGTAGGTACTGCTACTAGTACTACTCTGTACTTATTTCTTACAGCTTTGGTATCGTGGTTGTACCATCGGGGCAGTGCTTGATGTATAGAAATGCAGGGGCTGGAACTACAACTGAATTTAATCAATTGTTCATTGACATCTCTTCTACCACATTTCCTCTCCTTCTTCCTTATAGGTTGAAAATTGTTAATGAATATTTCTTAACAACTTTTCTCAGTTCAACTACTTTTTAGAAATATTTATTAGATTAGGAAACTAACACTGAGGTAATTCCATCCCTGACAATTTATGTTTATAGACCCTGTAAAGCACCTTTGGACAATTTTACTGAATTCTTAATAATGAAGAGAGAACACCATGATTATAATCAGAATTTTCTGACAGGGTTTTTAAAGTTTTCCTCTAACCACTGGGCATAAAAATTTGCTTAAAAACTCAAACCCAGTCCAGAACATATCCATTAAAGCACCAATAACAAGATATGAGAAAGTAGTCCCAGAATGGTGTTCAATTACTTTTTGCTACAAATGAAGCCCTAAATGTTTGAATCCTAATTTGGAATGTATTCATTTCTACTTAAAAAGACAATGTTGAATATTTTTGTGAACAAAAGTATCAAATGTATATTTAACATTCTTAAATAAATCACTTACCATGCTAGAGAGACCAGCGAAAAGCACTGCCAAGAACGCAATGATCGCCCACAACTGTACGTCGTACGTGAAGCTTCTTGAGATGACGTCGTACATGAACGTGAGGACAAACAACTCTGGAACTCTGGGAGACGCAACAGTGATGCCTTGATCTTCTAACCTGGACATCCACATGAACACGAGGCAGGTGAACCCCACTCCCACGGCCAGGTTACATGCCATGTACACCAGGGTTATCCTATACAAGAACAAACAACAATCAGAAAGTGCATGTAACAGTTATCCTGTACATGAACAAGCTACAAGCAGGTATCATGTCATGAACACAATAATAGTTATCCTGTAAAGCTACAGTAAGTGCACGCTTAGCTTAAAAGATCAACATAAACGCAATAATTAAGAGTTATTCTGTGAAAACTACTATAAGAGGTTTCATGTTATGCACACCAGGATTATTATGTACAAAGACAAATTCTAGTGGTGTACGATGGATTCAAAATTGCCTATGGTAATGGAAGTAGTTCAAAAAAATTTTTGACTGAGAACTTTAAAAGTAATACAGGGAAGTGTGGTAAATTGCTTTGTTTCAAATTTACGAGGGAGAGTGGTTGTGGTTTGGTAACATGTGAAGTTTTTATGTATGCTATGTTCTGTTACCATAATTTCTATTATCACACAAAACACAAACGAGAATAGTTCGTTTTGTGATAACGTGTATATTTTTTTAATCCCTCACTTTGTTTACAGCTGTGCAGCCTGCTTTTTCTTTGCAATTCACGTTGGATGGCAATCAATTAACAAATTGCACTCTGAACAGCAAGAAATATATTATCAACAAAAAGGGTCTAAAACTATAAATAAAACCACAACACCGCCGTCAAATCACAGATATTAATGTATTGATAGGGCAGTAATATTTCAATTGCATTATCTTAATAAATAGCTGGAATACAATTATCTTACCAAAATGCATTACTTTTGGCATATATTCTTCCAGAGGCGGTCGTTATATTTCCAAAGCCAAGGTGTGTTGATAGAAACAGCTGAACTGCAGCATAGTACCAAGTCTGTAAAAAGAACATTAAGATAGACAACATTAACAGAACATTAACATTGAGATTTTAGATTCATTTTCCAAGAACCGTTGCAACCATATCACTGTAAAATATTACCTAATCACTATGTTTCTGTCAATAATAATGGTTACATACCTTACGTCGTCAATCCTAAAATAAGTCTATGGCGACTAGTTTCGAAACATCAAGGTTTCATTGTCGAGCCTCTTGCCTTTTAAAAACATTGTGACATCTTGTCGTCGTCATTATACACAGTACATTTAACATAAACACACGAACACGGACACATACTATTTACAAAAGTGAGTGCGCGGCCGGCCATAAGTACCGCGGTGACGGACACGATGCAACTCAACACTCGGAGCTGCATCGCACTCGGAGCACTCGGAGTTGCATCGTGTCCGTCACCGCGGTACTTATGGCCGGCCGCGCACTCACTTTTGTAAATAGTATGTGTCCGTGTTCGTGTGTTTATGTTAAATGTACTGTGTATAATGACGACGACAAGATGTCACAATGTTTTTAAAAGGCAAGAGGCTCGACAATGAAACCTTGATGTTTCGAAACTAGTCGCCATAGACTTATTTTAGGATTGACGACGTAAGGTATGTAACCATTATTATTGTCAATAATCAATCCTGGAGGCAATGATGAATAAGTTTCTGTCAACATTGATAAAGTTACATCTAACCGATTTATTGTGATTTCAAACTAATCACTATAATTTTATTGTCGTTGTTTTACCTAAACATTTAACAACAACAATATACAGCTTTCATTCTTCATTATTCATTGGACTTTAAAGTTTCATAACACGGTTAACAAAGAATAATTACTCACTTCAAAGTTCAACAGTGTATTTATATCAATGTTGAGAAGTTTGTCCAATCCTTTGATGTTGAAGCCCAGCTGTTCAGTGAACAGAGCGACTAGTGCTGCCACCGCTGCAGTCAACAGCAAGAAGGCGCTGACTCGATACGATCGTCCATCTCGACAGAGGCTAAATAACAAAAATAACATGGAAATGCAGGTAAAACTGGTGTTAAGGAAGTTTTAGTTTCACAACTGATTTTGGTTATTTTTAATGGTTAGGAACGAGTTAAATGAATGTACCTACTTAAAATTCTACTCCAGTCTTTGAACAAAAAATTAATAATTTGATTGAGAAGTCTTCATCTCAGAGTTAGCAGCTTGGGCTGCTACGCCAGACATGACGGTTTGAGAAAATCTGTTGATTCAGCTTGTCATTTCAGACACCCACTGGCTTGTCAATGCTACCATAGCAAAGCTGAATATTAATGTAGCCACAGAGAAGTAAGGTACAGAGGAAACACTCAATGGTACACTTAAGTGGTGTCTAGCACTAGTTGCTGGTGTCTAGGACAAAGTCCAACACCACCCTTCTCACCCTCATGAACTACAACGCTCTCAGTGGAGGAAGACCCTTCGCCCTGTGCAGTAGGAATATTTGCACAGTGTTCACCGCTCAGACTCTTCCTTATGCTCATCAGAAGTATATTTCCAATACAATAGAGCTAAAGTGTTTGATCGCCCCATAAAGTTTCCTCTGCACCTTACTTCTCTGTGATGCAGCATGAGGGTAGGATGAGTGGATGGTAAATGTAGCTTTGTAACTGTCTACAGTCAATGTTTTTAGATAAAAGTCACATGGTTGGGTTCAGCTCCAAGCCATCAACAATTCTCTCCCTTTTCCAGGATGGAACTGGTACTCTTGTCATTATCAGATGAGCACTACAAAATAATACAGCTTCTCTTGCAGCTTATTAATTTTACCCTGACCAAATTTTATTTCATTTACAATAATAGTCAGTGCTGTTATTTCTACTACAGTATTATCCCCATGGTGTTATACAGCATCAGGCGAGAGAAGTCTTTTAAAACTAATACTACAATATAATAATAGGAAACTAAATAGTTCCTTGAAATTGAAATTTTATGATAAATAGGCTCTTGTACTTACCACAACATTACCAGTACCCAGATGATAAATAGCAGAGCAATGTTAACACCAAACCATGTCGGATCTTGGTCAGGTTGTGAGAGTAATGTATGCCTACAACACAAAGATAGTGAATCAGATAGAGATAAATTGCTAATCAAATAATTTAAAAAAATCCAGCATCATTTTCATTAATTTATAGGCATACCAGCTGCATTATTTACAAATATTGACACCTCCTCTTTTCTCCAAATGTATATAGTATGTTTTATCACTAGGGTGTAAAGTGATTCTTTTCTACACAAGCTCAAGTTAAAGTAAAAATGAGTGAGGGTTGAAATTACACTTCTGGCGGGTGATGAACAATATGTTTTTCCTACAGTTACCTAACAATGTACATGTTCTCTCACTGATTTGAGAAAGCAAAGTGGCCAATTCGCTCATCAGTGAGACAATGTTAACATTGTCTCACTCTAATTACTTTGTCTCACTCCAGATTTGCAACGTGAAGGCACGAAATAGTGAGCGCGTAACATGCAGGCAACGTCGTATGCGCGCGAAATACGTTGGCAGCACTGGCTGTAAATCAGCTGGTCAGCTGTTGTACTGTTGTATTTGTCACTTCACATTAAATGTTATATTTAAAGTTCACTTCTGTGTAAAAATAGGTTATTTTTCTTCACCAATTTATTTTTTTTATGGTAACTGTAGGAAAAGTATAATGTGCAACTCGAGTTCAAAGTACAATTAATTGCCTCACTCGAGAAACCATTCCTCACTCGCCTACGGCTCGAGAGTAAGGATTTCTCTTGAGTGAGTCAATTGCTCACTTTTCTCACTAGTTGCACAAATAACTATTTTTTTTTATACTGAGTAAGAAAATTTATGAAAACAACCCTTGGTTGTATAGGTGAAAACAGCTGTTTTTGCTGCAGTATGCAGAAAAAGGGTGCTATTTTACAGGTACCTCTGTAGCTTGTATTTTATACTCTCAAAAGATTAAAAATTTTATCTAACTTTACGGCCTTTCCATAACTAAAAATTTTCAACTCGTTGTTTACTTTGCCATTTATTTATTTGTTCAAAAAGTTGTGAAGAAACCAAGCTCCTCTAAGACAACGAACTTTTGAGATGTATCCAAACCATCCCCTCACCTCATGGAATTGAATACAATAAATGAATGTGCGAGGGGTTCCATTGTGTTTATAAACCTGTATATTAACAATTTATTTAAGATTGATTACTTTTACTTGTGAAACTTAACACAGAAGGTAGATAAGGTACTTACTCCAAACAAGCCTCCCCGTATGTGCGTCTTAGTAATCCCCCCTGAAACATTATTGTACCTGAATACGATTGAAATAATAGAAGTGTTAAACAAATAAGAATATGTAATTTGCAACAAAAATCACTGTTGCAACAATGTTACAACAGTTTTCGATGTCTTTAAGTAAACATTGAACACTATAAACGCCAAGAATGATAAGTTCGAATTTGTTAAAATACCAAAATGAGTTTACATTTATGGTAGACCCCTTCTTATCCACACAACTTTCACCAAACATCGGTTTAACCGGACCCCACTCCAAGGCAGAAGTGACATCTCTGTAACCGGACACTTTTTATCAGCAAAACGTTATAACCGGACAGGATCAGCAGCAAGTGGGCGGTACTGAAACAACTTTTCTCGTGGGAAATATTTGAGATCAAACTGTGTGTCTAAATACATTGCTCTCCCAAGTTTTACTAAATTTTTGGCTTAGGTTTATTTATGTACTAGACGTTTTTATTTTAACGAGTTCTGGCCTCGGTACCGAGGAGTCCAGATAAGAGTGAGTCTACTAAGTAAAAAACCACACAATCCACAAAGTCTATCATTCAGCTCAATTTAATCCCCACATTAACATGGACGATCACGCTACCTAATAATCTTCTGCAATTAATTTTTTATTTTGGTATATTTAGAGAAAGTAACCCCTAAACGTCGATTCACACACATCAGTTACGGCACGTCACAGTGCAGTCACTTCAGGCACGTCACAGTTAACAAAAATATTCTTTAATGGATTTTCTATTGCACTATCTACACTCATTGATTGCAGTCCCGTCGGTCAGTCAATTTTAGATTTCTTTCCACCAATATTTTTTGATTGTTCGGACGCCTGACGGACCTGTTTGAGGTTAGAAAATTGTGTTTTTGTTATTTAAATGATTGTTTTGAAATGTTGAGTACTGTTTGTAACAATCAACACGATGTACGATGAAAATTTAATAGAATATAGGTCAACAATTTAAAATTTTTTACTGTAAATTAATGTAAATATTAGAGATGAAAGACTGACTGAAACCAACTGACGGACAGTTGACTGAGAAATTGCGGATGCAACTGAGACTGAACTGTAACTGGACTATAACGGAACTGTTACTGAACTGATACGTGTGAATTGACCTTTATACTTTGTAAAAACAAAATATCAGTGCCTCATTCAAACTGGATAAATACATAACTAAATTAAGCCTGTTACAACTAACTACACTCGGTCCCACACTTACTTGTGTCTGATACGGCAGATATTTACACTCTGGTAGAGGTAGAGGCCCCTTAGCAGCCCAGACTACGTAGAACAAAGCGATGGCCATGAAAACTGGGTAGTAGATGGCAGCGAGCACACAAGCCAACACTTTGAGAAAGCCTACACCTGTAAGCACAATGTCTCTTAGAATCAGCAGTAATTTGCATTACTGAAGTAATTTGCATTTACTGTGAGTCATAAAAATAAGAAATATTTATACTATACATACAATGAAAGTGTAAATTTATTTTTCGCTTCACTGTGAAATGACACCTGTTTTCATTACCGGTTTATCACCTGCGAAAATTCATTATTACATTGACTACACAAAAAGAATGTTTACTACCCAAAAGTAATGTTTAATAAATTTTTTATATTTTTTCCAACATAAACAAACAAAGATTTGTTTTTGAATTGTCAACTATTTTGATTTGCAACAGCCAAAACTGTACAACCAATGTAAATATTAACCTTAAATTGAAGACAACTTAAAAAATGCAATGAGTTTTGTGATTTTTTTTTCCTAGGACGATAGGCACGAGCCCGGGATTGTTTTTCACATTACGTCAGGCTAGACCTAGGGGTTGCGGCATTATCACGTAGATAAAATCCATTGGTGACTTGACGGGATTTGAACCAGGGATCTCAGGGACTGAAGTCCCGCGCTCTAACCAATAGACCAGCTCGCTCCCCACGGGTTTTGTAATGTTATTCCTACAATTGAGAAATGTCCAATGTCTGTTTTAATTAAGAAAAAAATGATCTTGTAGTGTAGCGAAAAGTAACGTTCAAAACACAAGTGAAAGTGAGTAATTACATATTTGAGACAATATGTTTGAAGTGCTAGATTTGTAATATTTTTTAAACTGAGAAACTAGAGTGTATGAAAATAAAAATCCCTACGCAGATAGGGTTAGCGAAAACTAACGATGTTTGTTAATTTGCAGTGAAGTGGCTCAACCCCCAGTGGCATTGAGAGAACAAAAGTGGAACTCCCCCAACCAGAGTCAGTGACACTATGAGTGGGAGACCCTAATGAGCCACTAGGACACTTACTTGCATGTCAATTGAACATAAAGGGAGTTGGTTAATTAAATCAATTATGAGATACGAGAATTACTATACACAGAGTGATAGATTTTACAAACACATGGCCAATGCGTAAATTGCACATTTAAGCTGAGTTAAAAAAAAAATTTACAGGAAAAAACGCATATGCAATTAAACTTTTTATTTTTAGCGAATTTCCCTATAGGGAAGTAGCTATTACCGTAGGTCTCATGGTAAGACCTAGGCCCGGGACCGATTTTTTCATTTTGATGTCCCCAGAGGCCAAAAACACCATTCGTTCAAATTTTTATATATTTATATATATATATCTATATATAGAGATATATAATATATATATTATATATATATATATATGTGTCCATCCGCACGATAACTTGAGTAATTTTTGTCCGATTTTGATAAAATTTGGTATGAAGGTGTAAGGCGGGATAAACTTCGCGAACCAGCATGATCGGACTATGGGAACGGGGGTTTACGGGGGGTTTTATGGGGTAAAAATAGGGTTTTCCCATTTTTGACCCAAAAAACATAAAATTTAGCAATTTCTTTCCAAACCATTTTGTAGAGCTTAAAAAAACAAATAATTTAGTATATTGAAGTGTTATTATGCGCCTAATGGTTACGGAGAAAATTAAAAAAAAATGTAAATTCTAAATTCCCATGTTATTCTTATGGAGAACAAGTAAACTGTTGTAGTTTGCTTGTTTATGAACACATTTTGATCAAATTTGGAAAATGTTTTTATTTCTTACTAACTATTAACATTTTACAAAAAAAAACCAGTTTTACCCTCCCTGATGCAGCAAACCTAAGTACTTGTTAAACTAATTCTATTCAAATAGGAAATAAATGTTATATTTTTAAGTAGACATTTTAGTGTAAATCCAATCAGGCAAATGGAAATTCGCTTAGTCTGCAGGTTTGCTGCGGCGGGGGTATTTAAGAATAAGAATAAGAATAAGACATAAATAAACATCGTGGGTTACCTTTCAGTAATGGAACTGCTCTCCAAAGTTTTGTTGTCCCTTCTTGAGAGAATTGGCCTAAAAGAACCTCTAGAAAGACTAGAGGAATGCCAAACACTACTGCAAGCGCTATGTAGATGGCTAGAAATGATCCTGCAAGAAACAAAACAAATAAAGGAACTCAACTATAATAATTTAAATGTATAACATTTAAAACAATAATGCTATCTAACTATGACATATTGATAAGCCAAATTAGGTTGTACTTTGACTTTGATAAAGAGTATGCTAAATTTTATACCTATTCATTTATTCCTGGAGGGCCCAATAAAAGAAGGCAAGTTTTGATGGTTTCAAACTAATTGTTCTGGAGACAACTTATTTTTTTTGACGAAACAATATTAATATCGAGGTCAGAATCAATAGTTCTACTTTGATTAAGACAATTAATGTTTAATTATATGGCATTAATTAATACATGTTCACTGTTTATTACACTAGGAATTTTTGTGATCCATGCAATAAGCTAAAAAATATGGATGAATCACCTGCCAATAGAATACATTATAATATGGTTTTTGTTTTTTGACTTCAACAGATACAAGAATGTTATATTATTATAGTAGTTAGTTTTCATCCAAATACATCAAATGAAAACAAAAACTATTTCTTAAAATTATTTTTCACTATGGCCAAATATTATTTAGTTAGCTGATCAGGATTTCCTTCCTTTATAATTTTGGTCTTGTCAAAACAAACCATTCAATATTATTTATTTTTCGTATCATTCAAGTTTCACACTTTTTAAGACTGTTTATATATTTTGCATTAGCAAGCACAATATTTAAGAAAATGACAAATAATAATAATGAATCATGGAATTTGAGAAAGAAATAAGGACAATTTTCTTGATCCGCGGAAAAAAGGGTGGATAAATTATAAGGTACTTGTATTATAATTTGATCTTGAGCTACACAAAATACGATAACTGACCTCCTCCATGCAGGAACACCATGGTTGGTAGTCTGATGATGTTGGCTAGACTGGTGGCTAGGGATAGAGCAACCATCACTGAACCAAACCCAGGCAAACACCTCCATTCCTGTGAACAATTGATGGATTTAATGCATGCAGGAACACCATGGTTGGTAGTCTGATGATGTTGGCTAGACTGGTGGCTAGGGAGAGAGCTACCATCACTGAACCAAACCCAGGCAAACACCTCCATTCCTGTGAACAATTGTTGGATTAGTTTTTAGAAATTATTAATAGTTAACCATGTAAATTTATTGCTATATTAAATTTTTTTCCTAATACTGCAGCAAAACAGCTGTTTTTAATGAATGCGTTGCAGGTCAGAACAAGGCCCCACTAGAAAAAAACAGGCCATGCTGCAGCCAACACTACATCACAGTGGTGGATAGTTGTACTAAACTCTTACCATTAAAATCTTACAAACAGCCAGCTTGTTTATTTACCTAAAACATATGGGAATGGTGATGGCAATGAATTTATCAATGAAATCTATCCACTAGTGTGACGTCATGGATCCTGCAGCATGGCCTGCTTTTTCTAGTGGGGTCTTAGTCAGAAGTATCATTTTAACTCTCTAGGGAGGGAGTAAGCGTTTTTAGTCCCTAGGGAGTAAAAATCAGCTGTTGTCAACTTAGTTGTAAATTTTGATTGTAAACAAAATTGCACATCGAAAGTATGTATCGATTGTTTAATAGATTCCGATTGTAGTTATTTTGGCTTACTGTAATACTTTTATACATCAATAGTATAATGTACACCAACATAATCGTAATAAACTAAACGATTGAATCACTTACAAAACAGCAAAACAGCTGCTTTTTGCATTAGCAAATTTAATTGAAAACCAGTTAGAAGTAGTTTTGAGAGGTTTTGTTTGAATTAAAACCATTTTTGTTACATAGTTTATTCAAATAATGGTGCAGTGTATGACAAAAAATGTAGTTCATCACACAGGCAAAAAGTCTATTTTTGACCAGAGCTCAAGTTTTACGATTGAGGCGAATCCGAGGTCGGAAAATGAGTGATCGTAAAACTTGAGCTCTGGTCAAAAAGAGTAACTTTTGGCCCTAGTGATGAAACATACTATTTAACTGATACATATCTTTGAAACAGGAATCAGAAGGAAAAATTATCTTGGCTAAAGAAAGTCTAATCTTAGTCATAAAAAATAATAATAAAAACTGGTCATCTTACTCCATTCTACACTACTATCAATATTTTAATGCTCAAAAATACAAATGTTCAGATTTGCAATAATGCACAAAATTGGTTCATTGAATAATAAAAATCAAGTTTAAAGTTATCTCTGCTAATAAAAAAAAATACAGAGAAAAAATCTGTTATCACAAACAAAATTAAGTGTCTCACCTAGTCCAGCTTCAAGCTCCTCGCTATATTACAGTAAATGATTTTCCTTTAAATGATTAATAAAACTCAAATATGTCAGCAGATATGTTATGAGAAAACCATTGACTATTTCTCAACCAAAGCTAATAACAAAAGTAAATGGTGCAACTCTGACGTAATATGTATTTTCAGATAAAAATCTCCCACCTGAAAATTGGCTACGAGATTTGTTACAAAAAAATACGGAAATAACCAGTGAATACTACTTATGTGGAATAGCTTGATTAGAATTTTAACTCACCCTTCTACAAGTTCTCATTTTAGAATGATCAAATTTCTCGAGTAAATGTTCACCAAAATTAGAGTTGAAAATAACAAGTAACTTTCAGTGCAAGCAGAGTAAACAGCAATATCTAATATGGTGGTTGTTTGTTGTTTTAGTAGATAAACCCACTGACTAATATAACATAACTTTCCAGGGTAAGCCCTCAATATTCTTATTCTGGTACTAATTCATTTCACCAGTCATACACTGGTACACAGATGGTAACTTCCTGGTGTGATCATGTATTTAAAGTATTTTATTTGCATCTATATAAAAATACAGTGCTGGCTGTGGAACATTTTTCTATACAACAAAAAAAAGATGATCCTAATTTAAATAATACAATGACGTAAAATGCAAAACCCCAATATTAAAATTGTAATTATAGAACTGAAATTTTAATAATTACTTGCAGGGATAGTAAATTAGTTTGCATAAAATTGTCTTGTAAACATTAGAGAATCATAGCAACAATAACAAACGAGCTGGTTACACTACATTAACTATCTAGCTGAAAAACAAGGCCAAGGCTTTCATATTTCAAGAGGAAGCCAGTTATATATGGCCCTTGCTCTGAGGTGGACTATTAAATATTTATGTTCATGTATCATTTCAAAATTACACAACAAGAAATAATTTTTTTACCTAGGATTATTTAAAGAATTTTATTATTATGTTACGTTGGCTTTAGATAAGAACAATATTTTATTGGCTAACATTTATAAATGTTTGTATTTTATAATAATTCTTAGTTCAGTAGGTATTAGCTAATTTCCCCATAGGGAAGTAGCTATTACCGTAGGTGGCACGGTAAGACCTAGACCGGGACCGATTTACTTTTTCATTTTGATGTCCCCAGAAGCCAAAAACACCATTCGTTCAAATTTGTATATATGTATGTGTCCGTAAGGCGGGATAAACTTGAATGAGTTTGAGAACCAGCATGATCGGACCATGGGAACAGGGTTTTAATGGGGTAATAATTGGGTTTTCTCATTTTTTACCGTCAAAAGACAAAATTTCCCAATTAATAATTTATCTATAGACCTTTTAAAAGAGCTAAAAAAACAAATAATTTGAAGTACATCAAAGTGTTTTTGTACGGTTATTAGTTACGGAGAAAATTTAAAAAAAATGTGATTTTAAAATTCCTATGTTATTCTTATGGAGAATATTGTAAAATGTTGTAGTTTGCTTGTTTATGGATATTTTTACCAAACTTGGCAAATTTATTAATTTTATACTAAGCTATTACAATTTTACTAAAAAACACAATTTATTAGTTTACTTGTAGCAGCAAACCTAGGTACTCGTTAAACCTAATGTTATTTAAATAGATTTAATTTATTGGAAATCAATTCAGGCAAATGGAAATTCACTTAGACGGCAGGTTTGCTGCGGCAGAGGTATTTGATAAAAGTCAGAGTTGTTATTGTTATATTTCTAATGTACTGTAGTTATACACAAACTAATGTTTAAGCTAATTAATTAAAAAAATCTAAAAGTTATGGCTGGTAAATTTCAATTGCTTTTAGATTATTTCTTTGTGTATTTTGCATGGTGTTACTATGTTTACACATTTCCCAAATAAATTGAACCTTATAATCAAACAGTGGATGACAATTTGTTAGAATTTAACCAGCATATTTTGTAACCATATTCAAACACCTGCCTCTATCCCTCATAATGCAACAAGACCAATGCAAATCTAACCCCCAAAAAGGAGAAAAAACTCCCACCATTTTTGATGAGTTACAAATTATGTGGCCATCTAAAACATTTTAGAGGTGAGTACAAGGGCTTAGCCATGTGACAACCCTTTGAAGATAAGCTACTTGATTGTTTGTATTCATTTATTTTAATAGCCATTGCAAGACATTTTCAGACTTGATGGAGCCAGAAAAGTGTGAATATTCAAAGTCCCCATACATTCACAACTTGTCTTCACTTCAAAGTGAATTTTTATGGAGGAAATCTTTCATGTTGAAGTGGAGTTTAAAAAATAATGGCGAGGGAGAAACCAACCCACTAGTGGCAACTTTGGAACTTTCTTGTCTTTAAAAGCCTTCTGAAGCTTGTATGGGTATTCACAAGATGTATAAGGGAAAATGTATCAAAATTGTATTTTGAACATTGAACATTGTAGTGAATATTAATGAACTGGCAAGTATACAAATTAAATTATATGTATGAGGCCTATTTATGCAATTATGCAGTAGGTAAAATGGACACATAATATTGTCATTAGTTGGTAGACCATCTCCACAGATTGTACCACATATGTTTGGTTTCCAATTTTTACATTACATGGGAAGTCTATTCCGTGTATAGTCAGTAGCCTTTCCAGCCATATATAAAGTTTTTCAAAAGATCAGATGGACAGTTTGGTAATGCATATAGAACAGAATTATGTGTAAACAACATGTAATTAATGTGTTTAAATTACTTGAACTAATTCATCATGGATTGATGATTTTGGTGAAGTATGTTTCAGAATAGTATGAATCATCACTATACAAGTCTATTACATTGACCTGTTAAGGATTGAGGTAACTCCTAGTGAGTCCTTGGAAGTAGGATTATGTCTTTGTGACAATGGTCAGTGGGTAGCTATGACAACCTCTTCATCAGCTGTGGAAGGTACAACCACAAAATACAGACTGAGTGGCTGATTAGTGATTTTTGTGTGTTTAATCCAGCTAAAATCTATTAAATCAAATGTATGTCCATAGGTTGTCGTTAATGTATTACTGTAAAGTCCATCCGAAGGAACACCATGAAATTAAAGGTTGCCATACAGTTTCTAAACTTGAAATTGAAAAATTTGTCAACATATGCCTAAGAAGGCTTTTGTCTTATTCCCTTAAAATCTTATGTCTTAAAATATCTTATGGATTTCAATCCTAGGGGAATACAAAAATCTTAAACCGGGGGGGGGGGGGACAACATGTTTTTTAGCAGCTTTGAATACCGACTTCAAACAATTGAAGGATTTTTATCCAGTTGCAAAGTGTAAAACTACCAGTACAGTAGAAAATACAAATGTTGTTTAGTGAATAAAAATAGTTATTGTTAAAACAAAAATTTGCTGTTATTTTATTGTATCTAGAAGTAAAACGAGATAGCCTATAAGACACTGCAAGGTAAGTCCAGTAAGAGAGGCCCACATTTGTTTTTAACTCCTGGGGCCCATTTCATAATAAACTACAAGTTACAAGTTACAACTTGTAACTTGTAATTTCCATTAGATTTGCATTGGGCGATCAGCTGATTTACTAATAATATTAGTTTGTACTTTATTATGAAATGGGCCCCTGATCTATGAACTACAACATTGTAACGTTGTTTACTGGATGACAAATTTGTGTGAATCTCAATATCGATATCGTCTTTAG